CAGTCAAAGGTCAAACCTGTGCATAGTGACCAGTCAAAGGTCAAACCTGTGTATAGTGACCAGTCAAAGGTCAAACCTGTGCATAGTGACCAGTCAAAGGTCAAACCTGTGTATAGTGACCAGTCAAAGGTCAAACCTGTGTATAGTGACCAGTCAAAGGTCAAACATGTGTATAGTGACCAGTCAAAGGTCAAACCTGTGTATAGTGACCAGTCAAAGGTCAAACCTGTGTATAGTGACCAGTCAAAGGTCAAACCTGTGTATAGTGACCAGTCAAAGGTCAAGCCTGTGTATAGTGACCAGTCAAAGGTCAAACCTGTGTATAGTGACCAGTCAAAGGTCAAACCTGTGTATAGTGACCAGTCAAAGGTCAAACCTGTGTATAGTGACCAGTCATACGGAATTTATTAAAAATTATCTTTATAGACAGGCGGAGGTTGAACTGTTTTTCATGGATCACCAACAATATTTGAGATAATATTTGTTCAGAAAAAGAGATGGTACTGTTGCAACAAAAACACAATAATTTGAGTTTTATTATTTTGGTCTCTAAACAAAGGTGAATCTGCAAAAATATTGCTTAGAGAGTCGTCACTACAGGTCTTTATACATAGGTTGCTCATATGTTATTCCTTAGGACTGCCCAAAAGTGTTCACTAAAAGGAGGTGGTCACTAACAAAGATTTGACTAATAACTTAAATCAAGTTCAATGGTTGTAGCTTGATAATAACATAGAAATATTGACACATTCAGCATCAGAGTAAAGTGCAGTGCAGGTCAGCCCCCAAAAAAATTTTTGTTTTTTTGTTTTACTTTAATGACCCCACATTTCTTTCTTTTTTTATCAAGTATCCAAATATTGGCATGTACTCAGATTATGGAAATATGTAAAAAATGACTTTTAATTTAAATATTCAACATCAAGAAATACACATTTCTTTTTCAGCTGTTTGGTTGCAATACTAGGAATGGTGCTTGGCAAGAAGGAATTGTACCCAAACTACTGCATGAAGCAAATGCACAGACAGTGGCAGCTGCTGCAGTAATAGAGCAACATAGTGAAAAACCATCTGCCCAACAGTTAGCAAAACTACCCAGTATTGTAAAGAAATGGATTGTGTTAGATGGTAATATGTCATCGCAGTGGGTAGATAACATGAACACTTTATTGGATGAACACAAGAAGTTGTGTCTGAATAACGGAGAGCAAGTCAACATTATGGGTAGGTGGTGATTATACTGATGTTACCAATCATTCTGTCTTTGGTTCTATTTTGCCTAAATGCTGCTAGAAACATATTTGTTTTTGACCATATGCCATTACATACTGGTTTAATATAGATAATTGTATGTTTTGGAGTGGGTTTACAATTATAAAGCATTCTACTGTGGGTAGAATTTTGTCAACCTTGGATTACTGAGTATTTTTATTTTTTTTTAAACCTTTTGTTATATACCCCATGATCTGATAATGTGTAGTTTTACTAACTGTAGATGATTCACTCGAACAATTTGATTCAATATGTCAAACAGAACAAGCTGAAGACATTAAATATGTTAAAATAATGTTGTTTTAGCTAAAATATATAATCATTAAAAGTAGAAATCCTGCCCTTGCATTCACACCCATTTCATGTTGCAAATAGTGAAAGATACATACCTACAATAAACTGAATATAAAGGACAAACAAACCTCCCTGCTCAGTGAGACTGAGTATCTAGCTTAATTTAACAACCCTGTTTAAAAATATATTCTGCAGTTAATTACTCATCACCATCCACAGTCTCAACATTTGATAGTGTATATATTGGTACTAGTCAGAAGCTTCAAGTGGGAATTAAACTTTAACAGTTGCAGCAATATTTACAAATACTAGTTACATAGGCACTTAGTAGAATGTATTTAATTTTTTTGGTACATTTATTTTTCAGATTCCACCTCCATGGTGTTTGAGACATGTAGCATTACAAATTCCTCTCCCTCCTTGCTGGGTAGAAGTGCCATAGTATACTGTGGGAGTGATGTTGTACACTGGAAGATGTTATTTGAATCATGGTTACAGACTGCCAAAAATAAATGGGAATTGTTCAATGTCAGGTAAAGTTGAACTTTCACCTTTACCCTGTGTCTCAGTTGTGATGTACTCAAAATATAAGGTTGCCATCTTAGATTTGTTTTGTTTTTCTATTACTTGTTTCTATTACTTGTTGTAATATGATGTTCTTTGGGATTATTATTTAAAATGTATCTAAGTTAAACTCATGAGATGTTATTTGCTGCTGTTAATTGAACATTATAACATAATTATTGATTCATTAACTTGCAGTTTGAAAGTGTTGTCATCTTTAGTGGATGACACATTTGGTGCTACTATCAAGTTCCTGACCTCAGAATGCGCCTCCACTCTGACAGCAGACACAACCACTTCCCTGAATCAGAACAATGGCACAACAACTGGTATCCAGGAAGTGACATCATTTCTCAACATTTTATCATCTTTATTTGATAAGCATCTCCTGAGAGAAGATGAAGATGAAGGCAATGAGAGTGATGTAATGAAAAATGCCTCGTCTGCTCCATTAGGTAATGACCCAAATCCTGTTTTTGGTTAAAAAAAAATGTGTTTGATATCTGAAAACTATCAGTTAGGGAAACTGTCAGAAAAGAACCTGAATTGGTTTCTCTAAATCTTGTTTTATCTATTTTGAAAAATATCTTTCCTTTAAAGTATAGGAGTTGGCACATGTATTACGTGATAGTTTATTGCATTGCCTGTAATGAAATGAAAAGAGTAGAATAAATTCTGTGTATGTGGTTATTGCTGTAGTTGTAGAAAATAATGTTGTTTACTCAAAAAGTTCTAATCTGATTGTTGTCATTCTTTGATACTATACTCATCTGTTTACAACATCACCTACAAATGTAAGTTTAAATATCTTGAAGATATTGCTGAAACTGTAGTTTAAAAATCTGTTAGTTAGATCTATTCAGGAATGACAATTTGATCTAAGAATCCTGGTTTGATTTTCTAGGTAGGCCCTCACATGTGATTGCTGTAATTCTACATAGTACAAATAAAGAATGTGTTTTTAGCCAACACACAAAGATTTCAAAAGTACAGTCTTTCAATAAAAATCCTTGTACATTGAAAAAACAATTATTAGTTGCTTTGTAAATCAACCTACTAGACTACATATAAAATAAAAACTTAATATCGTATCATAAAATGTTTTTCTGAGGTGGCAAGGCTAACAGTTTTTCTGCATGAATTTTAGCTTCTCTTGACTTAAAGTTGACTAACTTACGCTGTTCCCTGTAAGTTTAATTTATGTAGTACTGATAACAAGAATAACAGTATAATTATATTTATTTTCAAAATGACTAGACTGATTTGATAATTCTCATTATACATCTTAAACAGCAGGGCTATATCACCAGTTAGGCTGCTTGTTATGCTACTGAATGAATACAATTAATTTTAAATATAATCATCAACAGATAAATTAGAGACTCATAGTCGTCCAGTCACTGGTTCTACATTAAGTCGACAAAGTTCCAGTCTTGAAGATACCATGGCACCTAATCATATCCAACGGATTGTTGGCATGTTTACATTTGCATATATTTGGGGATTTGGTGGAAAGCTACACGAGAGGTGAACTTTTATTTCTTGCAATATAATTTGAGAAATTTAAAAAAAAAAATCTAGACTCGTATAATGTTTCTGGTCCTGCACGTTTTTTTTCTTTTAAAACACTGCTGTTATTTTTGCCATAGAGAACCTACTTTTATTGAGTTGAAATGCAATTTATTTTTATTTTTCCATTGTCTTTTTTTTTAGTTGACATTAAAGCTTGCAAAGTACTCTGACTCCTCACTAAGTCGCAATATCAACCATGACTATTAAAAATAGCTAACGATTTGTTGCATCATGTATTTAATTTGCTATCTTTGTAACACAGCTGTGTTCAAACTATGTCATTGTCAACTGCTCAAGTTGTCAACTCACAACTTTTCAAGTTTCTTGGCTGGTACTGGTTTGATAAAGCCTTATAAAACTCATTGCAATGTGAACAATCCATCATTCTGATCGCTAGTTTCTAACTGAGCAGCATGACGAAGTGTACGTTATCCAGTCTGTCTGTCCTTGTTAAGTTGCTGTAACTTTAAATATCTTTTTGTATTCCCCACCAAACAGGTACATTGAAGAATTTGATAGTTTTACTCGACATACACTTCATCGTGCAAGACACGATATACGTTTACCAAACCATGGTCTTGTATTTGATTATGCTGTAGAAGTTAATACTGGTATGATGATAACATGGAGAGAATTTAGTCAAGATGGTGTCAAGACTTTACCAACCGGCTACACCATTGTCCCAGAGGTTTGTTTTTTACTATACCCTGCAAAGTTTGATTTTTACTTACCGTAATAATATGTACAGTAACTGCCCATCATTTGTTTATTTGTTTGCATGCCAACTGTCAGATTTTTCTAGCAGGCAGCACATGCAATATAAATAACAAGCAGAAATCACGCCAGTGTGCGGTTCAGAATTAATACGCTTTATTAAGCTAGTAGTGAGTTCTATACACAATGGGATGATACTAAGGGAAATGTTACTAGTTACATTAATACATGTCACAATCCATAAAACGGCATACAATTATAAGACAAACTAGACTACACGCTCATCAAAATTACATTAATGCGTGAAGCATACACGTTATAAATACAAGCAGTAAATTAAGAACTAGCATTACAAGTTGATAATACAACCGGTTAGACCTCATGAACACGCCACAACCAGTTCAGACTGTCCTAATGCCCGGTAAGTTCAAACGTTCACTTGCTCGACACTTGCTTCACTCCACACAATCCAGAATTCCACTTCACAGCCTTCCACTCAGACTGCGCTCCATGCTTCATGCGTCACAACGGCTCACCACTCACAGGTCATCTGGAAAAGGGAGAAGTACATTCCATAATACCTGCAGTTTTAAACACAACTAAAAAAACGTAATATGGATGTATTTAATCGGGCTACCGTACCCGGCACAGTTGAATGAACTACTAGGAAATGATTAAAGTGAAATCTCAACTTACAGTTTCTATGTGTTGGCGTCTTGTCCATCTCCCTCACCAAAAGGTGGAATCTCCAAGTCCCGGGAATATCCCCAAGCTGCAAAACCAATTTGGCAGACCTCTACTCATATACTTGGCTGACCGAATACAGCGAAGTTACCACTGACTCCCACCAACTCAAAGCCTGAACGCCTTGCCAGTTGATAGTAAAATTACGAGTCGCCACGAGTAGAATTGCCGGAGATGCTCACTCCTGAACAACTGATGGACAACTAACCACATCACACTGCAGAATTACCAAGCACACAAAAGCAGTTCTATTCATCACTCCAGCCTACTCTAGTAAACTTCCATACACCCACCTGTAAGTGCATACCACTAACTTCCAATACACACTCGCATACCAGCACACTGCAAATCAAACTATGACCTGATTCATGTACACCTGTACACTAGTTACTAAGCAACAGACCAAGCACTATTTCATATATTATATGATGAGTTTATTCAATTAAGTTTCTTTACAATACTATAACCTACAAACACAAATAACTAGACAATAACAAATAACATCCAAAATAGTGACAATTTTGTCACACCAACAACAGTCAATACTTGGTAATAACAGCAGTTTATTACATCAAATACCAAGGTTAGATCACGAAGAAACAAGAAAAGCAACACTTCTCTAAAATAACAGATTTAAGATAACATTTAAAGAGTACCGGTAAAGACTTTGCATGATAATAAATCACATTCCATACTTGAACTAAAAACTAACTATTTTATTTAACAAATTTGTTTCTCAACATATGGGCAGTATGTATAAAAGTTCATGGCCCATGTAAACTAAAATAATATGAAACCTTGCTGCCTAATGCATGTAGGTCCACTTTGAGTGAACAAAATGTATAATTCCTTTCATATCCTTTAGATATAACACTTAAGATGCTTGTAATATCAAAAGTATTAGTAATCTACTTGTAGCTTTAACTGTGCTAATCTTTCTTGCATTTACAATGTCATTGTATAGGACTGATTTATTTGTTTCTATAATGTTTCAAGCCTAACTAATGTCGCTGTGTTATGTGTATTTCAGGTTGAAAGATACGCCTATCTAATAGATCTATTGTTGGGCAGTAACCATCCAGTTATGTTGACAGGTCCACCTGGTGTTGGCAAGACATCACTTATTCAGGTCAGTCTTAAATTTGTTGATGGCCATTCAACCTACCGGGGTACATATTCATATTCTTTTGTTATAAAGATGTTACATAATTTAGACACAAGTCACCAACTTCAGACTTTTTCACCCAGCGCCAAGTAATTTTTGGAGAAAAACTGTCTGATAATAAAAAAAAAAAAAACGCTTTTTGGAACTTTTCCATAGGAATTCATGTTAAAACATTTCATAAAAAATATAAGTATTTGTTAGAATATCCCCAAATTCGGCATAACCATGAGTACTAATCTTACAACTACATATGATTTTTTTCACTGTATATACTGAAGCGTTATATGACAAAACGTTTTTACCACATAAATAGTAAATACCCCAGTAATTCAAAAATCACCATTTTCATAGAACTCATTTTTGTGTGAAAAAGTATTTAGTTGACCATCCTTTTTTCATCTAGATTTTGTGAGCAACTAATGATATAAAGCCGTATGTTAAGTCAATTATATTGCGCTGTGATTTCAACTTTGCAATATTCATCAATATTATTAACCCATCATTCTCCTATGTTCTCCCAGAATATGGTTCCCAACAAACATTACTTTACCAGAATGGTTTTATCAACCGGTATGGACTCTCCCATGATGCAACAAATGATTGAGAAACAGCTGGATCGAGTCCGGCAGAGAATGCCTGTTGCAGCAACCGATCAACGAAAGAACAAAGCATCCCATTTGTTTTTCTTAGATGACTTGAATGCTACAAGTTCTTCTGACACAGGTAATTCACATACATATTTGCAATGATGTCTGATTGGATGAGATTGATCAATTTAAAAATCAAGATTTCCAGTTGAAAAAATATTTACGTATAATTCAGTAAATTATGTCAAAGCTATAATTTTGTGAAATGGAAATGTGTCTAAACTGAACACCAGGTAGATGGTCCCTACTTCATGTTGCATGTTTAAAAGATCTAGGTATAAACAGAATGTTTTTCTAAACCAACACACGTCTCTTTGGTTACTGAGTTTTCCATGCATCTCTTCCAGCTTGATTAGTTTTGATGGATTTTAATTTAAATCTATTGTATATCTGCACTTGTGGTAAATACATTACAATAATTTTCTAATACATGTGATTTCTTCTCCGGTTTTTCACCACAGGCTCCATACCCTGCTTGGAATTGCTGCGACAGATGTTGAGTCAGTGTGGAGTGTACGACAGACATCGCTTCTATCTAAAACCAATTGATGATGCCAAATTCCTGGCATCCAGTGTGTCACCTGGAGTATCGGGCATAGGTACTGAGACTGCTCATCAGATTATTGACCCACGACTGGCTAGACTATTCACTGTCTTTACCCTGTTCCCCTTAACCAGTCAAGCCATGCATCAGGTATATGGTAAGCCGCTACAGAACTGGTTGGAAGAGTTCCCAGCTTACAGTATTTCACATCACTATGAACTGGCTCATGTAAGTAATGTACATGAGTTAATATGAAATTAAAAAGTCATCCTACTTCAAGCCCTGATGTAGAATGGTCGTGTTGTGTCACTTGTCAACCATGTTGAATGCATCATTTAGAAAGTATATGTTACATCTGAAATAAACAAATATCATACCGTAGTTTTAATTTGATGTAGCTAATTCAGTTCATTCTTATAAATTTACTTAATTGTTGGTTCTTCAGGTAGTTCTGCAGATTGTTCCAGAAAATCATAGTCTTGATTAATCTAAAAATTCCTATAGCAATTGTGTAAATTTATCATTTTAAATCAACTCTGCCGAACCCTCACAGTTATCAGGCTGTTATGAGTCTGCTATTATTATACTACCCTGTGCTTTGATATTGGATACATTTCTTAGTTCTACCTCAAGAGGGCACTAAATCTTTCATTTCTTACAGGCTATCTTGTCAGCAACAATGGACTTATTTAACATGGTGAAGAAGAATCTGACTCCTACACCGGTCAATGCTCATTACATATTTACCTTGCATGATGTAGCAAGGTGCATAAGCAGCATGTTTTTACTTTCACCAAGGTCAAGAGGGCGCCCCAAACCTGGTCGTAAACGAGGTGGCGGTGGGGGTGGTGGTGGTGGTGCAGGAGGTGGAGGCAGTGGAGCTTCTGCTGCTAAAAGTCAATCAAGCCAAATAAGTAAGTTTAGTTATGGTACAACGGTAGTTTAATTTTTTGCATGTACTTAATGCAAATAACTATGGTCAAAATATGGTGCTGGTTGAGTCAGTAAATTGTTTGTAGCTAGCTGACATGGCAGTGATTGACTTGGATTGTTTGTTTAGAGGTTCCACCATGCAATACAGGGATAGACACTATAGCCTGGGACAAATATAATTGACATTCAGTATAGCCATGTACATGATGTAAATATATAGCCAACAAACATTTTGGACAAGCAAGTTCGAAACCATATCAAGCTCTGATGCTGGATATTACTTTTAAATGCATTTTTTGTTTTTTGTCCACTTCTGTTGGAGATGCACTTCTAATAGAGCAAATATGGTGTTTTGTTATTATTATAAGTAGAATCACTGTTTTACTGTAGTTCTCAGGTGATAAAGCTGAAGACATTCTTCCTGTTTAAGAAAAGGAATTGTTATAAATACTCCTACAGATTTCAGAAATCTATTATTCACAAATTTGTTCTTAACTCTTGATCACATTTCATGTCTGAGATCTATACATGCAAAAAGTGAAATTTTTGTTTTTCTTTTATGAAATTTCACAGTTAAATCAGCAAGTATACCATCTGTGGGTGGACAGTCTTCAGACAGTAGCCAAGCTAGTAACGTCAAACAGAGCCAGAGTTGGATGTCTTTTGGTAGTACTAGTGATGGCAAAGGGGTACCCACAGTAGTAACTCCTCCCTTGATGCGACTTGTGGTGCGTCTGTGGTGCCATGAAGCATCCAGAACGTATTATGATCGACTTATTTCTGAAGAAGGTAAGTGTTGCTGTGATATTTTAATGTAAAAATTTTTTTTCTCAACTTTGACTGCATGTATTAGCAGTTTTCTAGTAGCAGGTAAACCCAATGTCATATGCTCAACAGTAACCAATAACAATATTGTCTAATATTATTTTTGGTGAAATACTCAAACGACAAAACCTGGTTAGAGTTGCATGATCACTTCCTGTGCTTCCTGAGTTTGTACTGTTATGTGTGTTTTCACTGATTTGCGATATTTATTGCAACTATGGATGTACTGTATTTTCACGTCAGTCAATGTGATACCAAAAATCTATGAAACTAACAAAGAGACTGTTCGATTTATAAATCTAATTGCTGTTTTTGGCGAGGGGTTCTAATCAGATATGCAATGTTGATGCAATTCTTCAGAATGGAAAATGCATAAAATATACCAAAGTAATCTTTGCAAGAGAGAGGACTCATGTAAAACATTATTATTGTAAAATACATCACATTTTTTTACTATATACTGGTAGTAGATAATATTTGGTAATCGTAGTCCAAAGTAACTATTAAAAATAGCTAAAAAAGCTGCTACTTGCCGCTTTGAAGTTAAGTCTAAATCCAATAGGAATTACTTTTTTCCGAATGCAAGCACGAATGAAATGTATATGTATGTGGCTGGTACACCTGGTCTTCTATCACATTTTTATACTGGTGTATTTTTATTCAGATCAAGTATGGTTCACTAAGCAACTGTTGGATGTTGTGGAGCGACATTTCTGTTCTGCTGCTGATGATAATGGAGGACAGGAAATGGAAACTATACATGAGCAACTTGAACAGGTAATAATGCTGGTTGTGACGTTCTCATATGTTTTAAGAACAATTTGAAGGCAAACACTTCTTTGTAGTCGAAAGAATAAAGCAAAAAAATTAATCTGATTTATAATGGCCTATCATCGTTTGTTTATGTGATTACTCTGTGGCAAATTTCCATATGTGGTATGTTGGACTAAACTTTTTTTATTTTACATCAGCTTGATTCTGAGAGTGAGGTCATTCGAGTGAAAATGCCTGAAAACTTACTGAAAAGATCATCGGTGACACCATTGAGTAGCATCAGCACAGTTACAACACCAAGAGATGAGGATAGAAAAACATCAACTCCCGTTGCTCAGAGCGATGAACGGAAATCCCAGACACCAAGAAAAGATATTTCAGAGGGAAGATCCCCTTTACTGTTAGTAGCTGACGAGACAGAGGCTAAAAAGGGAAAAGGTAGTACACCACAAACTACAGTCACAACATCCTCGACAACACCATGGACTGAACGTGAAACAGAAACTGAGTCAAGGGCTTCACAGGCCAGCACTTCATCAGGTAATCTCTCACCTATATCAGAATGTTTTATAACACATCATTGTACTCTCTTGCTGTGTCCAAGCAAAAATACTATAGTATTCTCCAATATTTTCAGAACCATAAATGATCTCCAAATGCATTTTTTTTAAATTATAAAGACTTTCATTTTATATCTACTAGCACAATTATTGTAAACCATTATATTTTTGCCTTTAGAAATTTTCCGAATTTGATAAATTGCGGACATTCATAATTTAGCTCTGTCTTAAGATATGAAATGTTCTCTGCTATTTCACAATTTCACTAAACTTAGTGAATTTTTGTCTTGCGCAATATTAAAGGAATACGTGTATGTTGTACTGGTACACTACTAATAATGTATTCTATTTTTTGTCATACTTTATACAGACACATCTGTCAAGTCGTTGATTTCATCAGCGACAACTAGTAGTGAGTGTATGACATACTCAGCTTGTAATATTCCCATCCAGCATTCCTCACTTGTCAAGTTCTAGTTATTCTAAAAATGTTATCCAAATCACTAATATGCACAATGCTTCATACACAACATACTATATGTGAATAAATTCCAAAAACATGAATATGCATGAGTCACATGTAGATCCATTTATCGTGCCATGTATGGTGTTAATTTAGCAATAGATAATACCATATTGGGAGGTATATGTGATATGAAATATATAATTAGTTTCTGCAATTTATATTTGATTATCATTGCTTTTGTTATCATACCATATATAGTATTATTTAAATTATGCCCATATTTGGAAGCACAAGCGATATACAAGTTTTATCAAGTCTGTATCTCCGTTTTAGAAGGACTGTCATGTTGGAGATCAAATACCAAATGTAATATTTGTCCATAAAAATTAATTTAAATGGATCTGATCAATTTTGAATAATTGTTCTGATATAAAAGCATGATTGTGTTATTGGTTGCCATGTGTTAATCAAATAGAACCATAAAATCCTTCACATTCCACCTACTATTAGCTATCTGAAGTAGTCTTAATATATGTACATGTAATATGTCTGTTATTCTCTTCTGTAGAGACAACCTCAGGTGATGTTACACCATACTTACCAACTCCAAGATCTGAAACCAGAAAAGAATCAACATCAGGTATAAAAACACAAATAATTCTTCATTATTAAACAAAAAAAGTTCAAATGACATCTTGTACCTTCAGTGTAAATTTGACTCATGGGCGTTTCACCTTGTGTTTAACCCACACCATTTTTCTCTGTACTAAATAGAAAGAGACACTGGTACTGGTACAGGTAGTAGGAAAGGTGCATCAACTGGTATACTACGTATATCGTCTACACCGAGCAAACCATCAACACCAGGAGTGTTGAAACCGACCACACCTGGGGAAGCTAAATCAGGTGGATATCGACGTGGTGTGACGTTTAAACCTGGATTGATCGGAGACGCACACCAGGGACGTTACACAGGACCGTTGATTCCAATGGATCAGGTAAGGGATTGAAAGTTATTTTATTTTCAAATTGTCGTTATGATCAGAATGTACATCAATGTACTGTATTGCTTTGTGGTGACAACAAAGGTACCACATGTTAAAAATTTATATGTGATTGAGACATTCTCTAAACCTTACTAAGCAGGCTACAATAGCAACCTTTACATCATCTGACTATAGGCAAATATATATACCATGTGCAATTACAATGTTTGTCTAAGGCCAATTTCATTTTTGTGCTTTTTTGAATAGTCCTACTATTGAAATCACCATCATTTTAAACTTTCAGTCATCCTAACAGGCTAAATGACATTTTTGTCTACCTTCCAACTACCACCAAATAACTACAGACATGCTACAGATAACAGATTATCTGTTATCGATATATTCATCATATATATATATATTCAGATGATGTAAAAGATGTTATAGTAGTATGCGTAGTAAGTTTAAAGAATGTCTGAATCACATATTAATTTTGAACACGTTTTACTCCTGTTGCTACCTTAATGCTCAGAGAGACAATTTAATTCACTAAGCAGTGATATTGCTAATGTTCTTTATATGCATTGACTTTTATGAAATTTACTCGCTACAACACTATCAAATTGGAAAAATTTCTAACAAAGATTCTCGCTGTAGTACATTATGAAAACATCTTGCTGTTGACTATATAAATTTCGTGTTTCATAGGATTCTCCCTAATTTATTTTTAGATCTGCAATCCTGGACAAAACCTGTGTAATATTCTGTTCAGTATGTCTCTCTATGCTAGCGGTGATCGAGGTAAGCATTTCTTCTCTGATTATATTCCTTGGTACAAATCTACAGATTCACTATTTATTTAAATCTTTTTTTCACTCAACCTGTCATGGGTTTAATGTTATTGATATTATCCTTGTACAACAGGTTACAATGAAAGTACTAGTAGTCAGCTAATGGATGGTGTCACACGCTGTTTGAACTTATATAATGAGAAATATGCAACTAAAAAACTTGACATTGTGCTCTTTAAAGAAGCTCTGCATCATATAGCAAGAATCACAAGAGTTCTGGTGAGTATTTAAAAATTGTTATTTTGACAATTTTACTTTGCATGCATTCCACATCCATCATGGGTTGGTCAATGTGTATACAATTTAGAAAAAATGCAGACAGAAAGTTCAATTCAATTGATTTTAATACCGGATTCTGCCGTAAAGTTGCCCAGGGCCATAAAACGGCAGTTTTATTTAAAAACAAATCATGCTGCTTTCCCATCAAAATCCAAGCCAAAAGATAGTACAACAACATCGGCAAATCTCTTCCGTACTGCGTTCAATAACATTAACATATTTAAATGAGTTATGGTATTTTGAACACATTGGCATCATTCATCGTTTTCATTGGTTAATTGTCGATATGACCTGTCAGGTCAAAGAACATCGTCTCAGGTCAAACATGGCAGATATTCATTTCCACAGCATCGAGCGCTGAAAATGCGATCGGAATCATTCGCTTACGATGAAATAATTTGAAATTTATTTCCATTTCATAACAATTCAACGAATTTATTTTTTGCTCATTATTATAATCATTACTAATCAACAATTGTAAAACGCAGCATAGCCGGATTGCGATTCCGCGATCATTTGCTACTAAGCAATGCAGTTGAGTTCGTTTTTATTTGAAACTTATTTTAGAATATACTTTCGTTACTAATGAAATGAAACAAAATAATTGTATTTGGCGCACGAAGTTCGTTAATGTTATTTTTTTGGTGAAAATTGCGCTGTCTACTTTTTAATCTAGCAAGAAAAAAATGTATCAACTTTTAGATTAGCTTCTGCAATAGTTTCTTTCGTTTTGGGTGGTCCAACTGCCGGTATTGAAAATCGGCGTAGGTGGGTTTTTCAATGAAAATATAAGCCCCCTAAAAATATTTGATGATAATTTTTTGAAAATTAGAACCCCATATAAGGGCCCACCAGCCGTGAAACCACCCAGGGCAATTTTTCGGATGGGCGAATTTACGGCAGAATACGGTAGAAACAGTGTACGTCAGTATACAGTGATATTGTTTTGAATTTTGATATGAATAAAAGTATGTTTACAGCAGAAATGAATTAAAATGCCTTCAGGAAGAGGACAAGATGGCCCCAATGCTCTAAGCGGTTAACAATATTTTTGTTTTTAATATTACGATTGTACAATGTCAGGGTTCCATTATGAGCTTATAGTGTGTACTGTATAGGGCTTGATTATTAGCTGGGTTGTATTTTTGCTTATTTAACTGACTTATTTTATTTTTCTTGTCATTTACAGGGTACCACAGGAGGGAACGCTCTGTTGCTTGGTAAAACTCACTGTACCGGTAGGACAACACTGACCAAGCTGGCTGCTTATGCTGCAAGATGCAAGTTGTACGAACCAAAGCCATCCTTTCGAGGGGACATGGCAGCGAATAGAATGAAACTCAGACAGTATATACGAGAATCTAGCAACATTGCTGGGTTACATGGGAAACCGGTGGTGCTGTTAGTACGGGATACATTAGGTGAACAATGCCTGGAAGACGTGTGTGCTGTGATGTCACAAGGTAGGAGGATTTCGGGATGAAATAGAAAAGTAATAATAACATGTGCATAACATAATAACTGTAACATCAGGAATCTGCTTGTGATGTACTTTCAATAGTGGACATGAGATAAACTGGCACACAGTATTATCAGCCCCAATCCCTGAGATTGGTATAAAACTCTGTGTTTGGGTATAAATATTTGTGGCTGCTGACCAATGTTAAACTAAGAAAAAATGTAATTTGATTTGTTTATTAATAATAAGCTGAATAAGAATCATAACCGTCAGTGTCATGTATGGTAGATATCTCACATAGAAGTGATGTGGTCACCTTCTGAAGCAAAAGGCTGCAGAAGTAACCATAATCTAGGTATAAAAAGATGGCCCTGTTTTATAGCTAACATTCTCAACTTTTCACTTCTCATCAGGTACGCTACCCGGTCTGTACAGCGACGAAGAGATCGAAGAAATTGCCACTGCTATGCTGCCAGGGTCAAAGGGTGGGGGTCACAGAGGTCAGCGACTGGAGATGGCTGTAGAAAGATACTATCGTCGCGTTTGTAACAATATGCACATCATTGTATGCATGGATTTCAGTGGTAAGTTGACGCTGAACTTGACAATGTCAAATAGGTCATTTGTCAGCTTTGATTAGTTTGATTTTGTAAAGAATTAATATCTATAATTTGAATGTTACAATAAACCATTAGAATACTAACACCCTCTACAAAACATTTCTCCCCCCCCACCCCATTTCTCCAGAAGTCGCATTAATATTCAACAAGCAAGAAAGTTCATTATGAAAGCGATGATTAAATCTTGACACAGAAAAGAACAGAGATGTACAACTCTGATGTAATGATGTTTGTCAAACATTTGCTGTTCATAACAGACAGTTATAGATGCAAACAACACATGTCTTTGCAATATGTCATGACTTTCTAATGTTATTTTCTGTTTTCACAGATATAAACTACAGCAATTCTATTGAAATCTTGCGTCGTTTTCCTGCACTGCTGACACGTTGCTGCTGTGTCGATGTCTACTTCCCATGGTCCCATGAGGCATTGGTCAGTGTTGCTCATCAGTGGATAAGACGGGACGCTATGGACAAATTTACTGGAAAGGTTGGTATATCATAAGATGTGTTATTATAGTATGTAGTCAGGTACAGCAGTGTGTGAATTGTTAGCTTAGCTATCACTATGATCTTACATGTCAAGCACATGTGTTAATATTATGACATGCTACTGGGGCAGCCACAGTTTTAATATTGCTCAGCATAAAATTTAGCACAAATTAATTCTTTAATTTGTCAGATAGTCATGAAATTAAGTTTCCCTGGTAAGGTCTACTAATAAAACATTTGTAGCAGAAAAAATGTACGGTATGAACAAAACTGTATTCACCAATGCTGTGTCTGCTATCTTGTATTCCTTATAAAATAATATGTATGTTAATACTATTAAAAGTGCTTAGGCTGAACTCAAGATTATATGTTATTCCATTGGGCTATCAAAAATAAAATTTGGGGTCACAGAACAGTAAATAAGTGTCAAAATTTCATGGAAAATTGTTAAAATTTGCATTTTTACACAGGTTTCTATTTTGGAATAATTTTCTACATCTCAAAATTTTGCTAAATGATATTGGATGAAAATACACATATGCATAAGATTATATGAAGTTAGTGTGTCTATTGTTACAATAAATCCAGTATACACTCAGCAGTAATCTCAATTTTTGGTTTAAGTGCGCTTCTATCAGATATGTGATTTCAGTAGAACAAATACAGTTTATCATAATATCATTATTATCGTGAAACTTAAAATGTAAAAAAAATTTACATTTTGTGATAATAATTTTTCATTGTATACTATGGATAGTTCTCTCTCATAATACATTGCACATATGTGCAGTAATAATCAGTAGTGCAAACTTCAGCTTAAACTACTCTAACATTCTTAACATTCTGTATTTCAGCTGTACAAAGTGCCCTGGCGATTGGATGACCCGGCAAGTCAGCTGTCTGCTGTGTGTAATGCTATGGCATACATCCACCAGTCTGCTGAGCACATGATAGAAGGGTTATTCAAAGCACAGTTCAAGTTCTACACACCGACCACATATCTGGAGTTCATTGACTTATTCAAACACATAGCATCCAAAATGGCTTCCCACCACCAGGTAATGAGGGGGAAAAAGAATTTTAAGAAATAAAAAATGAAACACCCTGCATCTTCGACACGAGTTTTCATAAATTATTCTTGTAAAAATTATGAATTTCAACCCTTTGAACAGCAAAGTAAATACTGTTGTCAAAACTTTTTTTCAAAATGTGGATGAAGATCTGAAATTATTCTAATTTTTGTTCAAAACTAACCACAAAGCTATAGACTAGTAAATAAATAAGTGGAAAATGGTGCATCCAAATTTTGGTTAACACATAGCCTGCTTACACTGATTTCTTTCTTTTACTTTCGGTTGTACTTGTAGGCTTTTAGCAGATGATGTGTAAAGACATGTTATAGTTCCAAGATTTATGGTGGAATACTAAACGTTACACATTTAAAAGTTAAATAAATTGCTATTGTACAATGTTGTTCTGACTTGATTTATTTACTTCTAGAAAACTATCAGCACTTATGAGAGAGCACTGAGTCGAATAGATGTAGCATATAATACTATTGACAGCTATAACAATGATGTTGGCAGAATGACTCCAATGTTACAGCAAGGTGCATCCAATGTAGATGACAAACGCAGAGAAGTTGAAGCCTTGAAGGAACTCTATCAAAAGGTATCTCAACACCCCCAAACTTGATTTTACAAAATATTTCTGCGACCAGTTTTTGTTTATGATGTTAATAATTCTCACTTTAATTTTTTAAGGCTAAAGAGGAATGTGCTCTGGATGAGGCGGAGATTGCTAAGATGTCGGCACCATTAGAACGGCGAAAAAAAGAAGCACAGGAGGAACAAGAAAAGGTGGGTTTGAAAATTCTTCTCAGCATGAACTGAGTTTATGCTGTATGTATTCATGTCAAGTTTCTTGTCATTGGTTTAAAACCAAATTTACTACAGATGCCTACTTGACAATACATAGAGAAACACGTCCATACATGCATGCATATATGCAGCCTAAAAATTAGTAATGTAAAACCAAGTTACAACCTTTCAGTTATCTGTGTATTTTAGTTAATAATTAATAGAGAATAGAATAGAATAGAATAGAATAGAATAGAATAGAATAGAATAGAATAGAATAGAATAGAATAGAATAGAATAGAATAGAATAGAATAGAATAGAATAGAAATTACAAAATTTATGGCAATATTAATATTGCATGGTAAAATTCATACTAGTCTCCTGGTGTCCTGGTTGTACAATTAGGATTCATAATAAATTCATGAATGGTTTTGCTTAATTTCTGTTTTGTAGGTTGATCCTATCTATGATGCAGCATTATCGGCACTCAAGAGTTTGAATCCTCTTGATGTAAATGAAATCCGGAGCTACAGAGTTCCACCGGCAATTGTTGTCAATGTAGTGAATGCATTGTGTCTTCTATTTAAACAACCCTATGAGTAAGTTTTATAGCCAATCACTCAGTGTTAGTGTTTCACTGAATAGACATACTTATGTATGTTGACCTCCAGAAATATCACGCAAATCTATGCATGGTGATATTTTAAATTATATTTTGTGTGTTTCTTTATGTGTGTATGAATTAATATCACATTATTTATGTTTTATGAACATTTCTTGAATTTTCCAAAGAAACATGGATGCTAATATAGATTCAACATACTTGATACAAAACTGCAGCTGGCATAGTAAAATATCTGCCTAAATGTGCATATTTATTCTGACCATAGGTAAATCAATGTAGACCACCACCCCCACCCTCTGTTCATGTAGCATGGCTGCTAAGCAACCCGAGAACAAGAAACTCAATTATTATTAGATCCTATTACCAATTTTTTAGTATGATAATTTAAGCTAGGGCCTAAAAGATGTTGCACTTTTTAGCTCCGCTGTCGACTTTGTCGAGCGGAGCTTATCATATGAGTGATTGTCCGTCATCTGTCGTCCGTGTCAATGTTCTACTTGTTCGACTTCTTCTTGAAAACTATAAGCCTGAATACTTTGATACTTAGTGTATATGTACCTTGGGTAGACCTCTCTTAGATTTGTTCATTTCATGATGATATCTTCAATTCTCTAATTTTGATGAATATTTTTGTCATTTTTGGTAAAAAGTGATATTTTCGACCTCTTGTTAAAAACCGCAATTCCAATTGCTTTGATATTACATATATGTATACTACATGTGGTCCCCTCTAAGATTTGTTCATTTCATGATGATATCTTCAATTCTCTAATTTTGATGAATATTTTTGCAATTTTTGGTAAAAAGTGATATTTTTGACTTCTTGTTAAAAACCACAAGTCCGATTGCTTTTATATTACATATATAGGTACTACATGTAGACCTCTTTCAGATTGTTAATTTCGTGGTGATATCTTCAATTATCTAATTTTAATGATTATTTTTGTCATTTTTGGTGAAAAGTGATATTTTTGAATTTTTGTTAAAAACAGCAAGTCTACATATTGTTCATTTTCTAATGATAACGGCAGAGCTATCTCAGCCAAGACTCTGCTTGTTTATGTTTTACATGCACGCATGTACACAGTAAATCGTTGGAAAGAACTGAAATAAGTGTTGTTCGTCATTGTAGTATTCACATATACGTTTTGTGTTCCTGTTTAATAAAACAACTATAAGGACAATTATGACATATCTTGTGAACTAATGCTGATCAGTAAGTGACATTTGTTATCAGACAGTTGCATGCTGGTTGGCAGAAATGTAAACATATGACATCACAGTGCAGTGGCATATGCACTCAAGTGAACTACAATTGGAATATTGTCAACCATCACCACCAAAATCAGATTGAATATTCCTAATGTCCTAAATATTCTGAACTATGCGTTGATTATTGTGATAATTTGAGTTTCATTCACTGGTCATAGTGTTCAGTCACATAAGTGAATACTTACAGGTATTTTTCATTGCAGTTGGGAAAGTGGTAAGGGTCTGCTCAACAGAGAGAATTTCTTCCAAGATTTGGAGTTCTATGACAAGGACAACATTCCGGAAGACATCTTCCAACGTTTGAACATACTGTTCATCCAGGATCCTGAATTCCGTCCCGAGGTGGTAGGGGAATCCAGTAAAGCAGCCTCTTCACTGTGTCTGTGGGTCCATGCCATTTATGCATACTCGGAAATTCATAGGAACTTGCAACCCAAACTGGAAGCAGTAGCTGATCAGGAAGCTAAAATAAATGAGGCATGTTATGTATTAATCTGGGTATTCATGTCGCACAGTTGTCGTATAGCATGCATATGAATTTTGTGAAGATAAACAATGTTTTGTGTACATTTTGAATACATCATATAAGGCATAACATGCTGCAAAGACTGTGACACTTTGGATATGATTGAAGGGTAACAAAGTTGGTGGTGCAAGGGGTCACATTATAAAGCAAGAAGACAAAGACATTTTGATCTAGACAACTGAATGTAAACTTCTATATCTATTACAGTGATCTTGACGTACTACCAATTTAGTATATCCATTCACACCAGTCTTTATCCATTCACTTCATTTATTATTATATTGTTAAATTATGTGTGTGTTTTTTTTGTTCTCAGGCTCTGAGGGTGCTTGGCGAAAAACGAAAACGTTTTCAAGAAATTAAATATAAACTTGAGAATAAGATCCAAATGCAGCGAGATGCCATGCGGAGTGTAAGAAACATGGAAAAATCCATGAGGGTGAGTATTGCAATACTAGGAAATCATGTGCAGACAAATAAACTTTTGATCAAAAATGGTTGATCTGACTATAATAAAAATATAGATGATTGATCACAAGATTGGATGTTGTCCCAAACCTTACCATAGTAATGAAACTTTGACATGGGATTGGCTCTTTGTAACTATAACTGCACTAGATTACTGTCTCACAGTATTTTGGCCGCAAGAGTAAAAAAACCTGTATGAGGTAATTGTATCATCTGATGCATTATTTGTAGAGCCATACTTAATGTAGCTATGAATGGCTTGCATTGATCAATGACGAAGATGTTCCAGAATTACAGAACCAACACTAGAGTAACACAGTAATGAAACCTATTTTTAAATTCAGGAAACCCAGAAACATATAGCAAAGGCAACCGCTTTGGTAGATAACATGTCAACGCAAAATACTGAATGGAGATCAAGACTGTCACAGGCGCAGTATGAGTACAACACAGCTCCTGGTGATGCATTGATAGCTGCAGCATGTGTTTGCTATCATGGACCAATGGAACAATTTGCCAGAGATGTCCTAGTGCAAGACTGGATTGAAAGATGCAGAACTGGAAAGTTTGTCTTGCAATCTTTTGAAACTGAGCTACCTGTGGCGCAGTCTGTCACGCCAGCGCTAGAACTTGTCATCCAGGCAAACAAAGATGAGAAGCCAGGTTCTAGAAAAGGTTCTAGAGAGACAAACAGTGCTGGAAGTACTAAACTAAAGCTGCAAGCAGAGGTTGAGGCAGAGTCTATTTATAGTGATGGTACTATTGACAGAGAAGAGACTCCTGACACAGCTATTGGTAGTTTAGGATACAGCGATTTGCATGATGCATTAACACCAGCCAACATTGTGCAAATAAGAGATCCTTTTACACTGCAAGGTAGAACTCATTTAAGTCTTGTTCTTTTCCATGCATGGTATGTTCTATGTTGTAACCAAATGGAAGAATGTATGAAATATTCTTCAAATCATATGTATGAATGGTCTAGTCATTGGTGGTGGTGGTGGAAAGGAGAGGATTTATGCTATTTTGAATCGGGTGACTTTTAGAAAATATAGACATTAAAATTAAAAGCCAGTTAGTTTGTTTGTATCCCGATATATTACTTTTATGTTTACTCTTATCATTGAAACCATAATAAGCCATAGTGTTGACTGATATACCATTATTAATTTAGTATGCAGTCACTGATTGGTTAACCTCCGTCTGCGTGGAAAACGCTGTAATGTTCTATTTCCCTTTTGAAAGTTAAACGGTAGTTCTGTTCTAGTTTTTAGTCCATGCTCAACTGTGGGTCAGTTAGTTCATCATGTTTTATGGCATTCTACAAGTTTATGTATTCATCAGAAGTTTACACTTTCGTTTGAAGAGTTTTGTTCGCAAATAAATGCAGTTTATATCAACAAATGATTCGTTAGGGTTCAAGTCTAAGTTGTTCCGCTGAAATCTAACTCAAGTTGGAATGTGGCCGACCGAATCCAACCACAACTCTTTAGGGCTTAAACCACTAATTGAATTTCCATAGACGACAATGTTAACATATGACGAGATTGCTATATGAAAATGATGAACAAAGTTGAAAACATGGCTCAAAAATTGGAAATCAACATGCCAGTAATCAACCACATGAAAAAAACTAACATGTTGTCCAGCTCAAACTCTTACAAATCTCAGGTAAACAAGACACACCTACTGTATTTGGATTGCACCTAGAGAAATCATTGGAAAAACACCAAGATTAGAACATCCAAATACACACAGAATAAACCCACAGGTACACAGTCGCTAAGTAGTAAACAAAAGACCACATGTTGGTCTCACCTTTGACCCAGGTGATTACCCCTTCAAACAGGGAGCACCTGAGAAAAAAAGATATTTAAAAAATTTCATTGGCATTTAAATTGGCCATGAGCATCCATTGGTTGATTAGTGGCATGAGACCATTAATGATCACTGTAACACTGGTAGCAAATATTTATGAGCAATATGGATCAATGACCACATTATCTCATGTATAAATATTTGCAGATGTCTTGAGTTCTGTAGAAGAACAAGGTGACTGGTACCATCGTAGTATACCGCATGATAACTTTGCTGTACAGAATGCGTTAATACTGCGTAGTTATGGCCGTGATGGTCGTTATAGTTGGCCTCTCATAATTGATCCTGACAACCAGGCTGGCTCATGGATACAACTGTTACAGGAGACCATCAGATCAAATGATGATGTGGAAGAAGAGGCAACCAGAAAAATACCATTGTCAGGTACAGTTGATATTATTTAAGTCATGTCTATTATTTATGGTTTAATGTGAGATATGGAAAATGTGAGAATCTATGATATGTCAGAATTGGCTGATTTATGGATTTATTTTTGACTGTTTGATTTATTTATTCATTGATGGATTGCTTGACTTGATTGATTTGATTCATTTGTTGATTCATTGATTCATTGATTCATTCATTGATTCATTCATTCATTCATTCAATATACTTACAGTCATAGATGAGAAATCAGAACCAGGTGATGTGGTTGTAGCAGCCACAGTGGCAGATGAAGTGCCAATCACAGACTGGGAATCCCATCCCCCTGATGATGATGGAGGCAGAGAAACAGGGTTTACCATTTCTACCATTGTTGAAACTGAGGGTGATCCTTTCACACCCAGAACAGTCACAAGGTCAGTGAATTTAATTGTTTGTTTTTTTCAAATCAAAAAGCTTGATTTCTATCAAATTTATATTCAATTTATAAAATTAAAAATTGCCACCCTATTCGCATACTTAATTTCACTTATTTCTCATCAATAGCTTTGGTGATGCTGTCACCCCAGCAACCACCCGTGATCCATACGCCGACAGTGAGACAGCCACTGACATCCATGGTGGCAGTGAGGTAGACATGTTTGAAGCCTGGGACATTGACATAGATACTGACCTGGAATTACCTATGGACAATCTGTGGATGGTCTCGGCTGATGATCCTAATCTCAATTATAGAGTGGTGCACTCTGTGGCCTTTGGTTTGACTCTTGTGATCACTCACGTTGAGAGACTGCCACCGGACTATGCATTGTACGAACTTTTACATCGTAACATTACTGTTGATGTAGACGGCAAGCATCACATCAAGCTTGGTGGTAATGACTTTGATTATAATCCAGATTTCAGACTGTACCTGCTGACATCAGTACCTATACATATCAAAGGTAGGAATTTTGATTACGCTGAAATCATGCTTAATGATGTTTGATGCAGTTTCACTTTTGCAATGTACCTATGATAGGGTGCACAATTATTGCTGGTTTTTTGTATACAGTAACGTACAGAGGTGATTTGAAAATTTGGAAAAAAAGCATTTTATATCTCGAATTGTTAATTTTAGTGGGATTTGGTATACATGTAACTCTCTGAATCTCTGTGCAAAATTATAGAAAACCTCAATATTTTCAGTCCAGAACTCTTCGGTATTACTGTGGTGTGAACTATAAAAACTTAGATACATTTTCAAGAAGGTGATGACCGATTATTTATTTTCTTTAAGAAAACATGTGTTCTGTACAAACCCCATCATTATTTTGAGACTGTATAAACATATAATTTTATTCTATTATTGCTAATAGATTATACACAGAGTAATCTCTTAGGGTACAACAAATTTGACAATTCTCAGTGTTATTGTAAAACTGAACATCTTTAATACCAGCTGAAACTCAATTTATCACCTGTGCAGATACTAAAAAGTTCACAAGCCCAAACATGCAACATACCCAATCAGAATCCTGCTGTCATAATCTATTAATGAAATAGTATGAGTCAAAAAACAAATTGACATCCACATTACCACAGTACAGTATATGGACAGTGAGATAATGTTACATACCGGTAGACATCCATGTTTCTTAATTCACAAAACAAACTTTAATAGAGATCAGGGCTTGAAATTTGATTGCCTATATGTCGGCCCGTCTGAATGCCCTAATGGAAGCCATGGAAGCTATTACCTAAATGCCCAACCTGAGTGTAGATCAATGCTATTCAAATAAGTCAAACATTTCCTTCATAATTTCTATCTGTACAAGAAATTTTAGAATTTTTAGCCTTGAAATTGTTTGCCTTAATTCATGATACTGAAGTTTAAACTCAGAGAAACCATCTTTAATTGATAGCATGAACATTTCAAATCTGGTTCTTTTATTCCACAGGCACTGGGTTGTTACCACTGCCAATACAGCAATGTAGTGTTGTAGATTTGTCACTCAGTCAACAAGGTGTTTTTGATAAAGTCTTGAAGATTGTGTTGGATATAGAGCGCCCTGAATATGAAAACCAGTATAGATCTATAGAATCTGATCTGAAGCATTATCAACAGCAGTTAGAGAACACACAGGTAAGACTTAAACCAGTCTGTATAGTCTGACCAAACTGCATTTGATTAATCTGATGAATTTGAACAGACATCACATTCTGTTTTATGTGCAGATTAATCTGACACCAGGGTTCCGGGATATGTTTGATTTATTTTAATAACTTATTCAAACATTAGATTTTGTGCATGGTTACACGATAAGATCTATTTGCTCACTTTGACCACAGGTAGCATAGCACAGACCAATGATTTTTATATCTCGAGTTTAAATCCTTCCTCGGATTGAACACAGAAAAGCTACCTTGAGTGTGAATACAGAGGCCAAAACTACAAGTCATTTACTTATGGATGTGACTATGGGGGGGGGGGCTACTCTGATTACATGGTTACATAGTTTATCTTTGTATAATCCTTGTTGATAAATCAGAATATTCATTAGTGTATTTATCAAGTTTTTAATATACATTTATAATTTGAAAGTACAGTATATTAGAAATAAATATGTAATCCATTGAGAAGTGGCTAAATATACAAGGTGGATAAACTAATAATGTGATTGTAATGATAGTATTTATTTCATTCACAGAATGCTATTCTGCACAAGACTCTCAATTTAAAGTTGAGTGTCTTAGAAGATGGTGACATGCTTCCTTCATTGATAAACTGTCAACAACAGACATTTTCACTTCAGACAAGCCTCGCTGAAACCAAAGTATTCGCTGAACAACTGGATGAAAAAAGACGAAACTACATCCCTGTTGCCAAACATGGGTCTGTGTTGTACTCCGTTATTAAGCATTTTCCCAAACTCCATCAGCTCTACCAGTTTAAATTGTCAGCTTTTTTGAGTGTAGTTTCCACGATGATGAAAAGCCGTAGTCAAGGTAAAGCTGGTGCTATGGGTGTGTCTCCAAAAGCTCGCACTAGTGAACTGATCGATGCACTCACACAGAGCATACATGAATTTGTTTCAACGGCTGTATCCAGTCAGCACTCACAGTTGTTCGCATTCTTGGTTGCCATGGAGAAGTTAAGAATGACAGGCGGAGTAACCAATCAGGAATGGTCTATATTTGTTGATGGAATCAATGATGATGTCATGGAAATTAAGGATGTCAGACGAAAACCTGATTGGATGCCTCAAAAGGTATAACATTAGTACATCTCATACAAGTTGCACCCCCTAGTGACGTAAATGGGTGAAAGAAAGGCAGCATTATGTTGATATGTTGTTGTTCATCGATAAAAGTATTTGCGGGAAACTTATAATATTCTAAATGTTGCACTGAGAATATGACCCTTACCACATCTCCCAACCAAACCGATATAACTGAATATCAACACATCTGTATCTATATTCTGACATCATAGAAGTGTTTCATCAGAATAGTGCTAGCACATGACCATCTTCGTCATGATAAATACATCAACATTTGCCATGCAGACACCTAAGGTGGTTGTCAATAAAACATGCAACCAGAAGTCTGTTGAGCAACTCAATTAAAATGCAATCCTATCTAAGAATCAGTTTAATTAGGCCGTATTTAGTTACGAAAATTTAAATAAGTTAAATTTAAACTTGTACCTCTTTTAGCAGGCTAGCATTAGGATTATATTAACCTAAACCCAAAACTCGATGGCAAGACACGTATTTCTTTAAATTGACTGTAATATTAATTTTCACTTTTCATAATACTGGTTCCAGTTTTAGTTTCACGCATGTTTTACACGATTTAGGAATTGATGTGTTCAGTGCCTGGGAGATTTTAGAGATAGAGGTGCCAAACTGATAAAGATTCTTTTACCCAACTCTATTAAAAGAGTATTTCTGCTGTGAACTACTATATTATATATATTATATATAGGGTAAACCATTTGTAATCAGAAAGGGTTTGGGGGAGAAAGATTTGATGTTGGCTGAATCCAATTAAAGAAAAAAAAATTCCACTGGTTCATTATTGAAAAAAAAAAAATTGCGCTCTCAACAAGTTAAAAAAAATCATATCCAGTGTACCAGTATATGTTGTTCAACCATGATTCTCAGAAGAAAAAAATCTCTTTTACAGGAGTTTGAAAAAAAGTATACATTTCCTCAACCTCTAACCCCCCCCCCCCTCTTGATTCAAATTGAACGTCCCTGTACTGTATTGAGTAATCAAGCAGATAATGTGTACTAGTAAACATGACTGCGGGTACTTGTTGATTTTTAAAATTCACAGTAATTTCATAATTCATTGAATGTTTTTGGGACCTTCAAAAAAAATATTTGCTTAAAAACTCCATAAATATTGCATATTAAGGAGTCAACCACTTGAAATATATTTTGCGGCGTAAAATTGTTTTTCTCTAAAATTATTATGCAATTTATTTTTAAAAACCAACAGTGTATACCTGTTTTCCCTGAATTCTTCCATTACATGCACTAAGAATAATATTATAGTATAGTCCATCCCTAACTCTACAAGGGTATTAGAGACAAACATATTTTTAAGCTGGTAATGGATATGATCTATTGAATCAGATTGATTTGATTTTTGTTTGCCCACACTCTGCAGGCATGGATAGACTTTGGAATACTTGAAGGATTGGAAGACTTTGAAGGAATTCGAGACTCAATGGTCAAATATGAGAAACAATGGCAGGAATATTTTGAAGTAAGTCTGCAACAAAGTTACATTGTAACTACAGTGTATCACAGTTTATCTAAATTTACTGATAATCTTGCTACATAGTACCTACAAATTACTTATAAATGTTCTGCAGGTGTTCTGCTAGTAAATACAGAGTTTGACCTTTTCATGTTCATGTTTTTGTTTGTTTTTTGGCACAGTGCACACCAGTGTTGTTGTCTCTTGTTCCGGATGACAACCAAGCTCACTTGAGTATCATACAAAAGGCAATATTATGGAGAATTATCCAGCCACATTTGGTGAGTTTATTCAGTGTGTGATTTTATTGTTGTGATTCATTTGCTTTATTATATACCATATATATATAATATGTTTTTGAAATTCAGTCCCCCACCCCTTGGCTATTATTGCCGATTTTTCGTCGCTGGAGTGATTTACATCATCAATTTTGGTTCCCCGAGTGTCTCTAATAAATAACCTATCTAACTGCTGAACTGAATTAATGATATTATCAAAGAATCATAGAAGATTTGGCGAAAATCGGTCATTTTTAGCATCAACGTATTTTCGCTCGGAAACGCCAGGGCGATAAGACTCGATTTTCAAGGACGTGGGTTGTTTGGATCGGACTGTTTCTTTTGTTTCGAAACATAACATCGTTGTTTTTTAGTGAATACAGAATATGTTCTGTTTCAATACCAGATTTTGATATGCCAATTTGACAATTTTAACAACTTCTTTAATACTCTCTAAAAAATGACAATGGTACTAGCCCAGAATAGACCAGTCCTCCTGTTCAGCGTGTCTTTGATTGTAGCAATGTTTATGCCACTGTTCGAAAATACGCACACTCGCGAATTTGACAACATTCCCTTGAGCGTTTTAGATAGTGGAAATAGAAGCAAATATACTAGTAGATGGAAATACCAGTTACATTACTCATGAAGATTTATGATTCGATTGCTGGCCGAGATACAATCTCATGCTTCCGAAAATCCGATATTTATGCTGGAGAACAAAGTATACAAGTACTGTCTACGATATACTGCAAAGTGGAAATAATATACCTATTTGATCGTTATTGTTTTTTGTACAAAATTCTAAGAACACAAAACAAACAACTGACAACAATCGACAAAACAAAACAAAAACTGCTGAGTACATCAAACAGTCACTGTAGACACATTAGTAAGAAAAATATACTGTGGACCTCATGGTCAATGTAAATACAAAATAAATGTCAGTGAATACAATATTTATAAAAAAAATCTTGCAGCCTCCATGGACAAGTTGTGAACAAGTTGTGAACTGAACTTTAAATCTCATTAGGATTTCTACATAAAGTTACACTGATCGAAAAAAAATGCATTATTAAGACAAAGAAAAATAATGCTTTTTTGTAAAGGCTATATACTAAATTCTCTTTATTTTGGGGGGTATTTTTGTTAGTGTACACGTACGCATTAAAATACGTATACCCATTAAAATTATCAAAACTTCAAATGTAATCATAGTAAAATGTAAAGTAAACAAAATTATCGAGAGTGATTTTGGATTTGTTGAAAAAATCTAAAATCTAAATCTAAAAGTCTATTTGGTGATGGGAATTGCCAAGCCAGTTTATAAAATAGTGAACAAAAATTTTTAGTCCCCGTTCGGACGTAGTCCGAAAACGGGGACTTATGTTTTGCCCTGTGTGCGTCTGTGCGTCCGTTCGTCCGTGATCACCTGTATCTCAAACATGCATGGACCGATTAAGTTCAAACTTCACTCATACATCGCACATTATATGGGACATATGCACATACATTATTTTCATGATCCGATTAACGATAGCCGAATAGCGGCTATTTTAAGGCCGAAAATGCATCAAAATCGCACATTTTCACCATTCCGGACCCGGATCTCAGTTATGCATGGACGGATTTTGTTCAAATTTGGTACATACATTAAACATAATAGGGCCTTGATGCACGTCATTTTTTTTTTTGGATTGGGCTTGAAATGGCCGACTGGCGGCCATTTTGTTTTAAAGAATTCAGTTCTGGATCTGTATCTGAGACATGTCTGGATTGATCGAGTTCAAACTTCACA